AGGCATGCACCACCATGCCCGGCTAATTTTTTCTATATATTTTTAGTTGTCCGATTAATTTCTTTCTAATTTTAGTAGAGACGGGGTCTCGCTCTTGCTCGGGCTGGTTTCGAACTCCTGAGCTCAAACAATCCGCCAGCCTCGGCCTCCCAGAGAGCTAGGATTACAGGCGTGAGTCACCGCACCGGCCTTAACTTTTTTTTTAAGATAGCAGTGGGGAGGGGAAGTTTTGGTGCAGAAGTTGGATAACCAGAGCCTGAGAAATAAAGATAAGGGGGTATACTCCTCCCCAAGAAGACAAAGGAGAAGGTGAATTGAGAAGGGGAAACTAGACCTCAGTCAGCATTAGATGATGCTAACTTCTGCCAGCATACTCAGGCCACACACACACCTGGCTTGGCTGGACCAGGAGATTATGATCACCAACCACCCTTCCAACCCATCCCCCACCATCCAGGCTGGCACAGCCACGCCCATAGTGCCCCAAGCACTGCTTGCCTTGGTGACTCACTTCCTCTGTATGGGCTGCTGAGGTGTCCCAAGGCCATCACCAGGCCTTCAGGCTGGAGTTTAGGTTATCAGGGCAGGCTTCTGGGACAGGCAAACACGTGGAGCTCAGTTGTGGAAGGGTTTTCAGATGAGGCTGACCTGTACAACAAGAAGCCTAGTTGGGTAAGGAGCAGAGCCTATTAGTACCTGAACAGAGAGATTCAAGTGCAGAAAAAGTTTCCTAACAAGAGGTAAAATAACCAGAAGGGACTTTTATTAATATGTATTCTGAAATTATGCAATGCAAACTATTTGCGGAAAAGCAATATGGGGTTTGGGGATTGAAGAAGTATATGTGAGTCAACAGCCAAGGCACTATATATTACCGTTTTCCCATGTATTCCACTAAGAGGGACCCCAAATCAGCCATGTCCTCATTAAGTGATGAAGAAAACAATGAGGGGAAGTTGGGAGACCTGGATTCTGTTTCTAACTCCATGGCCCTGGGAAGTCACTCAGTCTCGTTGAGTGAGTAATGAAAGGCTGGTAGGTAGATTAGGTCATCTCTAAGATTTCCTCCAACTCTGAAATCCTAAAATTGAGAGCCTGGGGGTGGAAGGTGATTGGTAAATCTGAAAACAAACAAAGTCCGGCCCTGTAGCTGAACAAAACAAACCCCAGAGATAAAAGGAGTAAGATTCCACTCAGGTTTCAGTGGAGAAATTATAAATGCATCACACACACATACACTCCTCACACTCTTTATAGGCAAGGAGGACTTTGCTTCTGCCACGTGACTGGGCTTCTGTTGGCCTTCTCCAAATTCAGAGTCCAGCTTTGCAAGTTGGCCAGGAGTCCCTTGGAGAGGTTCGGATTAGGGAAACAGGAACCTTCACCCTCCCTTTATTTTCCTCTAAGTCTGCTTAGCAGGTAGCCAGAAGAAACTCCGAAGGATACAAAAGGCTGAGGGCATGCATACCCTGGCTGTGGAGCTGCTAGTCTGTGGTCGCCCCGTCTAACTGCGGTAACCCGGTCTCCTGCATGGGTCCAGAAGTCTGCCTTAAGTGGGTCCCGTGAGTAGATACCTACCTGAGGCTCTTCCCCTGATCCCATCTGCCTAGCAAGTCCACCCCGCAACCTGGAGTCCTCAGGAGGCTGCACTTCCCAACAAGTGGGCTAAAAGAGCCCCTTGATGTCTGGGGGTGGAGCCAGAGTCCTCAAGTGGCCACTGGAGAGGGCTGGAGACTCTCGCTGGCTGCTGATGCCCTCTTGTGGCCAGATTGGGGATTGGCAAGGAAGAAGTTGCAGAAGAGAATCAAGATTGGACTTCTTAGGGAGAAGACTAATAATAGTAACAGTTACCATTACCAAATAATATTATAACAATATTAATCGTTATATATTAGTTAACATTTTGACATTTGTACTACTACTCTGTGCCCAGCACTCTTCTAAGTGCTTTACAAGTATTGTATTAATTTATTTAATTCTCACAACAACCTATAACATAAATGCTATTATTATCTCTTTTTCGACGATGAGGAAACTGAGCACAAAAAGGTTAAGGTAGTTGCCAAAGATCACACAGAAGACCAGAATTCCACCTATAAGAAGCCTGGCTCTGGCTCCAGAACCTTTGCTTTTAGCCATCATGCTGAGACTGGGTCCCATCTTTCACATTGCCAGGTAAAATACAGGACACACAGATTGTAATTTCAGATAAACAACAAATAATTTGTTGGCATAAGTGTGTTCCTTGAAATATTTTGGTCATACCAACAAATTAGTCATTGTTTACTTGACATTCTGATTTAACTATGTTTCCTGTATTTTTATTTACTTAATCTAGCACCCCTAATTTACAAGACACTTTCTCTGCCACATGCCATCACACGTATTACCTCATTTAATTGTCCCAGGAAACCTATCCTCAGATGCCCTAGCATGTCCCCCTACCTCAGCCTGTCCCAATATTCCGATTCAGAGAGCTAAAGTGACTAGCTAAGGTTACAGAACATAACAAGTGGCAGAGCTGGGGATTGAAGCCACGTTCTCCAGTTCTAACGCTGGTGCATGTTTTCCACTTTAACGGGAGAGAAAAGTGAGGAGCAGTGATTATCACCACAGAAATGTCCCTTCCTCGTGTCTCCTCAGGCCTAGTCTGCAGGTCCCTCCTTCAGGGATGTAGGAAAACCAGTGAGGGCCTTCCAGGATTGGGAAAGTGGCAGAGCAGTGGAGATAGCTCTCTAGCTTCCATGCCCAACCCTCACCTGACCCCCAGGGAGGCAGAAAAGAGACTGTGCCCAGACCTGAGGGAGCTGAATGTGAGGTTTGAGCAACTGCCGAGGAGGGAAGGCTGAGTCTCCCTGGGACTGTTCACCTGCTGCTCTGTGCACTGACAGCCTCAGGCCCAGCTGCTGGGGTTGCATCACCTGCAGCTAAACCAGCCAGAGAGCCCTGGCTGCCAAAAGGCAACAGAAACCAGGGCCCAGGGAGCCTCCCCATCTCCCAGTTGCCTGTTGAGAGCTCGATGCTTCCCTCTGCCAATAGTGGCTTTGCAGCTAATCTGCTCCCACCCCCAAATACCTGTGCCCTTCCTTCTCTGAAGATATGAACAGTCCCCTCGCCCTCCCCACCCAGGCTGCTGACTCTAATGGGGCAGTCGTCAAGGCAGTTTCTGGGCTGGGACCCTCTCTGGGGTGCAGGCTGGGGTGCCCCACTGGTATGTGCCCCAACAGGTTTTTCTCTATCAGCCTTGAAATCAGCCCGGAGCCTGTTTGACCTGCCCCCCAGGGAACTGGAGCCAGAGGCAGAGCCAGGTCAGAAGCTGGACTTAGAGCCTAGGCTTCTGTGGTCCACCTGGCCCCACAGGGAAAACCGTGCACAAAGCCTCCTGTGTCTGGAGCTGAGCTGCTGAGAGGCTGAGTGGAGTTCACCCAGAGCAGGTTGAGGCCCAGTTGCTGGGAGAAGAGATGCTAGGCAGGGAGGTGTTTATGTGGGACCTAGTACAGCCTGGTCCTCTCCCACATCTGGGAGGGGCCAGAGTCCTAGACAACAGCTGGGTTGGTCTGCAAGAGAGGTCATCTGACCGGCTGCTCAGTCTGGGCTGCACACACCCCCTCTCTGCCGGGCCACACAGGAGCCGGTGCCCACACGGGCAAGCTACCAGGCCACAAAGACGACAACGACCTCAGTCTAGCACCTTTGGGTAAGCACTGAACCCGGGCCCTCATGTTGGGGAGACCTTGTTGATTGCTTGGGGGAGGGAGGAATGAGTTTTCTTTTTCCAGCATGAAAATGCCTCCTTTCTTGTCCAGGCACCCATGTACCTGTAAAAACACTTATTCAGATCAGCGCAGAGACCGCACCTGCTGACCTAAAGATTCTGGCCTGACACTCCGAGGGTAAAAGGCAGACAAGCAGGTAGGCAGCTTTGTAGGCAGGAATTGGGGCTTGCTTGTAGGCTGGGGCGGCAGGTGGAGGAAGATGCTATTTGGAGTTGTCTCCCACTGCCACCTAACTTCGGCTCCCCTACACTGCCCCAGGAGCCCCCAGCAAGGCCATGGAAGGAAGGGACATGGCCCTCGGAAGGGGTGCATCCACCTCAGACCAAGGATTGAGGAGCGATAGCACCTTGGAGTCAGGGCGGGTTTGGTTGGTGCTTGTTCCAGGAGCATCCCTGATCAATCTTGCTTCCTAAAGGAGGCGAGAGGTGGGGACGGTGGGAGCTTTCCTCTGACCCCTCCACTTCAGCTCCAGTTCTGGCTCCCAAACCTGCTAAGCAGGTTGATCTTTTTCTCCACAGCAAGGGAAAGGAATGGGGGCAATGGGAGCCCAGGCTCCAGGGTCTGGGGGTCATAAAGAGGCCCAAATTCAGCTCAGTGGGCTCCTGTGCATGTCCCAGGGCAGCCAGTTGCGCCATGTCTGTGAGCAGCGGGAGGACAGCACCATCCCTGATCCAGGAGATCCTCAGCCACCTGGGCCTTGCCAACAAGGTAGGAGCTGTTGGGATTTTAGAAATGGCTTTTAAAACATCAACTCAGGGCTGTGAGAGGATGGGAGAATAGGGAAGTGGAGGGCAGGTCCTGAGCTACGCAAGGCCAAGGACTTGGCTGAGGCACTGAGGAGGAGTGTGGGCAGACCACAGGCCATGGCCCTCCTAATCCCCCCGTACTCTTACAGACTGCAGCTTGGGGGACCCTGGGGACCCTCAGGACTTTCTTGAGCTTCACTGTGGAAAAGGATGTACAGAGGCTGCTGAGGGCCATTACAGGTCAAGGTGAGCCCCTTTCCTTCTGCACTTGGGAATCTACCTTTTAGAAGCCAATCTATAGACCAAGAAGGAGCCAGGAAGGAGGAACTAATGAGGTTGGAGAAATGTTTGTGGAATGCCTTAATTCTTGACACACCATAGTAGGTGTGTCATCCCCATTCTCACAACACCCCTGTGAGGTAAGGCTTATTATTTCCATTTTACACATGAGGAAACTGGGGCTCAGGGAAGGTATGAGCCTTGCCCAAGGTCACACAGCTCATAATGGCGGAGCTAGGATTCTAATCTAGGTCAGCTAATTGCCAAAAATCATTTTTTTTACCATCACACCAGACCAATTTTGCCTAAATTTGGGTCAGATTTGCCTGCTCTTTTGGCATTTTATTTCCATCTTCTTTGAGGTCAAATGGAAGTGGGGGTGATACAGCCCCTGCTCCTTTCCTTCCCAGCCCTTTCCTAGGCCTTGTTCTCTCCTCCAAGGAGTAGGGGGATCCCATTTCTACAAAGACCCTGGTTACAGCCCAGCCTTAATCTTGGTTCAGGAGTGGACCATAATGCCATTGTGGCCGTGCTGACCAATCGGAGCAGAGAGCAGAGGCAGCTCATCTCTCGAGCCTTCCAGGAGCGCACCCAACAGGTGAGATCTGACTTCCCAGGAGCAGGGGACTGGGGTGAGAAACCCCCTGGAGGATGTGGGGTACAGCAACAGCAGCTGAGGCCAGCCTCTGCTTCCTGGCTACACAAGGGCCTGGTGCTTCAGACCTGAGATGAAAACCAGTCACATCTTCCCAAACCTCCCTACACTTCCAGGGCCCTTCCCCTCACCCCCATGCCTTGACCATTGGGACCATTTGTTGTAGGACCTGCTAAAGTCCCTGCAGGCAGCACTTTCTGGCAACCTGGAGAAGATTGTGGTGGGTCTACTGCAGCCCATGGCCCAGTTTGATGCCCAAGAATTGAGAAGAGCCTTGAAGGTACCAGGAAAAGAGACTTGCGGGGTGTCTGGGAATTGAGGACAGCACTAAGGGAAGGAGGAGGCTGACTGCCTTGTCTTTGCTTACTCCAGAGAGGTGGACTTGGCAGAGGTCCCCTCTACACATCCCGTATTGACCGTTAGAAGAAGTGGTGTCTGCTCCTTGCCCCTCCGTCTGCCACCCTAATGACATAGCCCAGTCTCAAAGTGGTCTCTCTATTTCTTATAGGCCTCAGGTTCTGCTGAAGATGTGGCCATGGAAATTCTTGCCACCCGAGCCCCCCCTCGGCTACAGGAGTGCTTGACTGTATATAAACATGGTAGGAATATGGAGGGAGGGGCTGGGCATGGTGGCTCACACCTGTAATCCTAGCACTTTGGGAGGCCAAGGCAGGAGGATTGCTTAAGGCTAGGAGTAAGAGTGAGACGCCCCCATCTCTACAAAAAATAGAAAAATTAGCTGGGCGTTGTGGTATGCGCCTGTAGTCCCAGCTACTAGGAAGGCTGAGGCAGGAGGGTCGCTTAAGCCCAGGAGTTTGAGGTTGCAGTGAGCTATGATGATGCCACTGCACTCTAGCCAGGGAGACAGAGGGAGACCCTGTCTCAAAAAAAAAAAAAAGAACATGGAGGGAGGGGGGTCCCAAGAGCTAGAGAGGGATCTGTAGGACAATCAACTCCTTTCCTGCACTCCCTGCACACGAGCCATCTGGGAACCTGGCTGCCCAAGTTCCCAGAGGGTCTCTCCTCCCTCTCCTGCCAGTGCCTCAGTCTCCCCACGGGAGACAGCAGATGTGATTATTAAAGAAAGAGAAGCAACGATTAACCATCTTAGTCTGGAGCTCCAGGGCAGATTCCAAAGTGACAGTCCCAAAGGTACCCAGGTCACCTTCCCAGTCCCTTGCTGTCCCTGCTATTACGCCATATTCCAAGCTGAATTCAGCCTTGCTGCAGCCTGGGGTGAGGTAGGAACCTGCTCTGTAAGTCATGAGTGTCACCTCTCACGTTCTGGCTGTCTGCCTTGCTTGGCTGCAACGTGCGCCGCCCACTAACTTGTAACTGGTGTTTCCCCATCCTCATCTTACTACTTCCCCCCCTTCCCTTGCTTTCCTCACTCACTTTTCCTTTGATGTCTAATCTTCGCCTGTGTTCTTAATCCCTCTCCTATCTTTCTCCTTTCTTGCATCTGTTTTTCTCATTTCAATTCTTCTTTTTCTCCCTTTCCTGTTCTTTCCCTTCTTCATATCCTACCTCTCACGTCATTTTTCCTCACCTGCACTGAGGGCAGCAGGCCCGGGCCATCTTGCCTCATACCGTGGGTTTCCCTGTGCCCTCTCCACTGCCTGGCCACCGCTCTAGCAACGCATCCTCCTGCTCAGCAGGTCGGTGCTTGCAAATGAAGCCACCCCATACCTCACAGCCTAGAGATGGTTTTAGAGTGCCCATGATGGTACTTGCGCCTTACATCCTGGGAACTAGCAGCCATCAAGCTACTCCAAACAGGAGATGGCAGGGTTGGCAGGGCACAGTGGCGCAGACATTTGACAGGTCCTGGTTCTACACTGGGAAAAATCAGGAGGATTCAGAGAGCTCTTGACCTTGCTCCAGATTTCCAGGTGGAGGCTGAGGAGGACATCAAGTCTGAGACCAGTGGCACCTTGCAGGACCTGCTCCTCGCCTTAGCCAAGGTGAGGAGGACTGGTCTGCAAGGGAGGGGAGTGACACTTACCAGATAAGGGGATGAGCTAGAGCGGGGAGCATTGCTGTCCTATAATGGACAAAAGAGAGTATCAGGGGACACCAGGTTTTGGCTTATTGGTCTGGAGGTAAAAAGCTGCCCTTCAAAGGGTCCTCCTGAGAACAGTTTCTCCTCCTAGGGGGGCCGTGAGAGCTACTCTGGAATCATTGACTATAATCTGGCAGAAGAGGATGTCCAGGTGAGCAAGGGGGCTTCGGAGTTTGCACAGCCATGTACATAAGACACCTGCCTCCAACATGTCGTACAGCCAATGACCTGTATACCCATTTGTCCTGCCTTGAGGAGGGAGTCCTCAGTGACGTGTTGGGGGTATGAGGCCTCAGGTGGTGTAACGGGGAGCCTTTTCACTCATCCCACCCCTGACTCCTGAACTGACAGGAAGTGAGCTCATCAACTGACAGATTCCCTGCTCATGGGTATTTGGGTGGAAGAAGCCTCCCCAGACCCTTTTTTAGGGATAATTTAATTCCTTGGGTACCAGGATTTTTCCAAATTAGTGAATAGAGCTGTGAGGGTAGAGCCCCTCTCTTAACCCTGTTTCTTTTTTTAAAATCATAAATAGGCTGGGCACAGTGGCTCATGCCTGTAATCCTAGCACTTTGAGACGCCAAGGCGGGAGGATCACCTGACGCCAGCAGTTTGAGACTAGCCTGAGCAACATAGTGAGACCCTGTCTCTATAAAAAATAGAAAAATTAGCCGGGCATGGTGGCACATGCCTGTAGTCCCAGCTACTCGGGAGGCTGAGGCAGGAGGATCGCTTGAGCCCAGGACTTTGAGGCTGCAGTGAGCTATGATGACGCCACTGCACTCTAGCTGAGACAACAGTATGAGACCCTGTTACAAAATAAAATAAAATCATAAATGAAAACAACTAGTTTATGGGTTAGAATAGCCTTTTCCACCCCTAATTCCGTTTACACTATTATGATTCTGGGAACATCATAGCCATGGCTCCCTAGGCCCCCACCACTGATCCTGATTCACTCCCCTCTCCCAGGCACTGCAGCAGGCTGAAGGACCCAGCACAGAGGGGACATGGGTCCTAATCTTCACCCAGCGAAATCCTGAACACCTCATCCGAGGTACACACAAGACTTCTTGGCTGTCTTGTCACCGCAGCTTGTTCTAATGATGAGTTTTGATTATGATGGGAGAGTAACGATGAATTATCCCCCTCAATTTATCTTTCTAACTATGTCCCCCCCACACAAGTGTTCGCTCAGTACCAGCGGTACACTGGGCAAGAGTTGGAAGAGGCTGTCCGGAACCGTTTCCACGGAAATACCCAGGTGGCCCTGCTCAGCCTAGGTAAGGGACCTGCTCAGGATATGTGGAGTGGAGTCCCCGTGGGATGGGAGGTTGTGGCCCTAGTTGTGAACCTCCATCCTTCCCTCTTTGCTTCCAGCTTCGGTGATCAGGAACACACCGCTGTACTTTGCTGACAAACTTCACCAGGCCCTCCAGGTGAGAGGGGCACTGCTTTTCTCTCCCTTTGGAAAAAACTGGGAGGAGATACCTCCTGGGCAGAAGAGAGGAAGTTTCAGACTGCCGCTGATGTAACAGTCTCATATATACTTCATAAACCTATAGTAGTCTTTTTCTCTGGGCTTGTGAACTGTCAAGTGTGGAGGAGTGAGCTGTGATTAGAACGAAGTTAGTTGACCCATAAGGGCACTGGAACTAAAATTTTGGCCTTGTCAATGTCTAGGTGGCCAGATATAGGTACGAGTTTGCTCTGTAAGACAGTGCCTTGTCCAGTTTCCATTGTTGCCAGAGTGATGATGATGACACTAGCAAGAATAATGACAAGGATCAGCATTTCTTAGGTGCTGACAGTGTGCCAGGGCCTCTCCTGAGCATTACACCCATTTTGATTAATCCTCACAGCTGTACTCCATTCTTATTTTATAGATGAAAAAACTGAAGCACAAATAAGTTAAGTACCTTGCCCAGGTCACACAGCTAGTAAGTCATACAGTCTCCCTACAAAACACTTAGGGATTAGAGATAGGACATTGCTGGGCACGGTGGTGTGTGCCTGTAATCCCAGCTACTCTGGAGGCTAAAGTGGGAGGATGGCTTGAGGCCAAGAATTTGAGACCAGCCTGGGATATAGTGAGACCCCTGTCTCAAAAAAAAAAAAAACAAAAAAAAACCACAAAGACATAGAACATTCACCATCCAGTGTCAACTCCCTGTCAGCTACACCGTAAGTGCTCTTAGCACCCAGGGCCCTTTTGTCCACACTGGTCAGAATTTCTTTCATATTAACCTTGATTTGATATTCTACCAACAGAATCTTTATTAGTAGAACTGTTCCCCAAAACTTATAAATAAAAAACTCACTAAATTAGAGAAAAGGTAAAATTGGAAGAAAGGAAAAGTAGTTATTATTTTGGCAGTGGAATAGCTTTCCATAGACCGATTGAGAAGCCATCATGCCATGTTAATGACTATTAAAAAGACAGAGATTTCCATCTCAATGGTAGATTATTATACTTAACCAATAAAGCCTGTGTTATTATGAATCAACACTATGATTCATTTGAAGAGTTGTGGTTATCTGCCTAAATTCCTGTCATAAACCAGGCGTGGTGGCTCATGCCAGTAATTCCAGCTATTGAGGAGGATGAGGTGGGAGGATTGCTTGAGCCCAGGAGTTCAAGACCAGCCTAGGCAACATACAGCAAGATCCTGTTTCTAAAAAAAAATTTAAATAAATAAATTCCTGTCAGAAAAACAAACTTGTATCCAAGCAGTAAGTGATTTTGTAGTGTCTTTGGATTACAGTACCCACACTCTTTTTTTTTGAGACAGAGTCTCACTGTGTTGCCTGGACTAGAGTGCCGTGGCGTCATCCCAGCTCACAGCAACCTCAAACTCCTGGGCTCAAGCGATCCTCCTGCCTCAGCCTCCCAAGTAGCTGGGATTACAGGCATGCGCCACCATGCCCGGCTAATTTTT